TTTCTCCTGTTATGAGCTAGGAAATCATTTAAGACACGCGCCAAAGCGAATGAGAAAACATCGCGTAGTCGAATGGAGGCTGGAGGTGTCGTGATTCAGCCAGTGGACGAAGAAGATGCTGGAAATGAGCTCTCATGTCGACGGCTGGCCGCTGTACGGTAAGGAAGTACCATTCTATGAAGTCTAGTAAACTGTAGGAAAGGGTTTTTTTAAAAATATTTTGAGACAACAATTTGGAGATTCGTTTTTCAGTTTCGACCGCAATCATCGACTTATTGGTGATCTTTTTTCGCCTGCTGTTGTGACTGATACCAGAACAGTCAGTTTTAAAGAGCATTTTATTTGCCGATTACCACCCTTAGTTTACAGGTTGTTGCGCAAAATCGTATGGACATGCTACGAAAGCAAGCGCAGTCGTTATCTGCTCACCAGAATAAGTTGGAGGAAGAGCTTGTCAAGTAAGCATAAATCTTTGAATATCTATTTTTATTTTCTTGTGTGAACTGGTTATGACTTATCTGTTATTCTTTGGAGAGAAATTGATTATATGATGGCTTTCTGAAGTTCATCATTGTTTCTGTTAATTTTGAATGGTGTTGGTTTTAGACTATTCAAAGTTTGTAAAAATTATGGGGCTGTGCATACAAGTTTAGAAAGTTAGTTCCTTTCGCGCGTCATCTTCATGAGATCATTTTCTACCTATTAGATTCATTCAACGAATACAATCTTTGGAGTAGTGAGCATTTATATTTATTTATTTCGACCATCTAATGGTTATATTTCCAGGATTGAAGGATTAAGAGCTGAGAAGTAATTGTATGCCACTTTAAGATTTACAATTTAGGCTTGAGGAAATTCATCAAGAGAAAAAACGGCAGATTGAAAGGGGTAGCGAAGAATTTGCTGAAAACTTGAAGAGGGTAAGGAATTTTTGCCCACTTCGGAGTTAGTTATGTCTACAAGATTTTTTAAGGTATGCGAAGAAAAACCACAGCTGGATGAGGCAAAATATGCGGAA